ATTTTTGGGCGATTGGAAGAAGAGAGAAGGAAGATACGGTTTTGAGTTTTGAGCGTTTCCCGTGTTTTCCATTGTTTTGGGTGTTTTTGCACAGAAAACGCCCAAAACTATAAAAATGTCATTTTGTGTTTTAGTGCAATTTTTTTTTTTAAAACGTGTTTTTGAAAATAGGAAAAAGAACGCGTTTTCACTGTTTTGGAAAATCGAAAATAGAAAACGACTTAAAAACGATAAAGAGAATAGGGCCTTAGTGTTTTGGTATTTCTACAAGAACGCTTCCTCCAAACCATTTGTCGAAAACTTTTTAGCACCAAATTTGTATCAGAGAGGGGCAAATATTGTTTGAGGACAACGTTTATTGTGTTCGAGCCTTTCATGTCATTAAAATTCTTGATTACTTGCATCGGTTACTTTCAAGTCTTTATGTGGAAGATCAAAGTCTACAAAAGGAAAGACTACAATATTCGTAAATATGAGATAAGTTGATCATCTTCTTTTAGTTATTTTCATTGTTAAATTTAAAGTTTCATCATGGTTTTGTTCATTTTGTTGCTGATCATAATTGTTGATTTCTTCTCCATTTCCTCTCTCAGTGAATATATTCCCAACACTATCACTAACATCCCATGGGACATCGTACATGAGGTTCGGCAAGTCATTTACTGCCAATTTACAGTCTGAAAAGAGAAGATTCTGAACAGGCCTGCACTCATTTTTCTCCTGGAATTTATAACGCTCTATCAAATCGTATAATTCGCTGACTTTTGTTTTGAATTGAACATCGTAAGCTTCGATTCCAGGGCATTTTTCTTCGAAAATGGAGACAAAGTAAGCACTTTCATCTACAAAAACTTTTCGGCCGTTATGGTTGAGTGAGTTCCAGAGGAGGGTCTCACAGCTGAGACCGAAAACAAGTACGTTACATGGGGCCGCGCAGTGGCGGAGGACGGTGGCAATGGCTTTTAGATCGGCGGTTGACATGCGACTGGAGGTGTTTGTTGAGTTGGTAGAAGCATAATGAAGCAGCGCATCAAAGATGGGTTTTGGTAAGCCACTGTTGGCGGTTCTGGTGGTGGCGGCAGCCAGGGCCGGTCCTGTGATCG